CCAAACATTCCAAACATTCCAAACATGTGTAAAATTAAATATATATTACACTCCCTTTCAAATAGCCAACAAAATAAGTCTGGTTTTAATTCCATATCTTGCTTTACGATTGCTTCTAACCACTAACTTCTGAATAGCTACTTGGACCGACCTAAGTACTAATTCATAATTTCATATCCGGTTACATGGGCGACAAGCCACTCCCATCCAGTCACATGGGCAGCAAGCCACTCCCATCCGGTCACATGGGTGGCAAGCCACTCCCACAAAGGAGGCCACACCCACAGAGTAGGCTCGAACAATTTTTGAAACCCACCACTGTTGTGCTGCCTCATGATTGCCACAAGGCCTAAGAGGGGGGAGTGAGGGGGGGAGTAGATAGCCTGGCTAACAGTCGAAACAAAATGTTTTCCTGTGAGAACCAAGGTCATCGTAACAGGTGACATTCATTCAATATTGTGGGCAGGAGAAACAAAGATTGGAAACAACCAATGAGAAGCCGAGCTGCATTGTTTTAAACAATTATTACACAATGTTTTATTGTAGAAATCTACAAACACAAATGCTTCCTCACAATGAACCGATTTCGCTACAATGCTTTTACATGTGGGGAACGTTGTTGTTTTTTCTTCTTCTAATGTTAATTGGCTGACACAGCCTCATAAGATTCACCACCAATGTGATAAAGTAGAAGAAACGTCATACAACGGCAACAAGGTTCAAGTGATTTGAATCCCCAAGAAAGCAAATGTTTCCAAGCCCCCCAAAACCACAGCTCACAATGCAGTGGTGGGCCGCCTTCTTCATGGCTTTCTCTGAACAGTTCAACACAAAAGAAGCAGATCAAAAGCCAAAAAGGCAGATCTGATGGATTAATATTACACAACGGGTACAATGGTCTGCTTGGTTTGGTAGATCTTTCCCAGGTTCTCCTTCCATAGAATAAGAGGACCAGGTCTCTCTTAGTGAGAGATTATGATCCATGAAGAGGAGCTGAAGCTTCAATTCATTAGAAGCCATCCATGATCCATGGATTCCCTTCATCAGCTTCTCTGATAACCCCAGAAGCATCGTTACACAGTTGCTTGTGAAGCTAAAGAAGCAAGAGGTCTTGAAGACACCATGTAGACATGGTTAGACCCTCCGAAAGTCTACCCTTGGCCTTCTGTGATGACTAACATGAAACAGGCTATTTTTAATGCAACAATCATCATTTATTCGAAGGCCAACACTGCACACGGCTCCGAAAGGTTCAAGTAATCATGGCACCGAATTTGATGATGGGATCAAATTTGGCACATGGACATACATTCGTGGAAAGTAGTCACGCCTACCCAAGGGTAGGAGACCCCGTGCTGAATATGATGATGAACATAGTATTAAACCATAATAATCTATACCTATCTCCAATCCAACCTGTTTGACAGGTGGCGTGTGAAGCAAATCTTCTTTGAACATCAAAAAAAATGTTTTGATAAATGTCCATTGTATGCAATGGTGTTTACATTTAACACTTCTTAGTAGGCTCAAGAAATGGAAGAAGGAAGGAATATTGCATCCCTTACTCTGCTGGCTAGTGGAGAAAGCTGGATTGCCCCATCTGTCATACATTGTGGTCAAGCTCCTAATTTTAGAGCCTAACATTGTTTAACCAAACACCTTTGACTCCAATTTTTTCTTTTGTTATTTTAAACATTTCTCACCCAGTTGTTTTTTTTTTGACAACATCTTCATGGGCCACCTAAGAGACAGGAAAATGAAGAGTGGCTCTTTAGCAAGGATGTTCTCTCAGTTCTAGATACTTTGGAGCTCCGGTTGAAGTCCTCCATCAAAGTCCTCTACAATTGTTCCCTCCCTAACCCTCAGTCACAACTTTCACATGGTCATAACTTGGGATGAGGCCATCTGAATAGTGGAGGAATGTCCCCTTCTGTATCCGTTAAATGTCCCCTTGCTGGCCTTTGCTTCTTGTACAGCTTCTTTCTCGCATCTTCTCTGCTTTCTTGGTAGCCACCCATCTTGAGATGTTGACACTGCTACTTCAATTCCACAGAGAACGCCTCTTCGGCATGCAAAAGTTGAAGCCGTTGAAGAGTTCAGGAGCTGTGTCACCAACCACGGAAGAAAACAACTCCCTATGACAAAAAGAAAGAAAGTGAAGATTAAGTGACAAAATAATAGAAAGGGAAGAAAAGCAAGTACTAAAGCTTTGGGGAATTGTGGTAGTGGGTTTCCTCATGATTGGTGTCTATCCCAGCTAGCAGGGTCAATGGCAAGAGGTTGGAGAACCTCCAACTCAAATTGGAGAGTTAGGAACAGGGGTGGGATTCAACTGGTTGAACTGAACCAGATGCTAATTTTACATCTGGTCCATCGAACTGGTAATTGCAAGGACTGGCTGGCCCCGCCCATCCCTCTTTCCTCTCTGAGGAGTCTCCATGTGGCCCCTTTTTGGATGCCAGGTAAGTGCAGAACCTGTGCAAAGGTTCTGGGAGGATGAAAAATGTTCCCCCCCCACCGAAGTTCCAGAAATCTGGAAATGGACCAGTTTCTAGCCTCCAGAGGGTCTCTGGGGTCCAGGGGAGGGCATTTTGGGGCCCAGGGGAGGTCTTCAAACTTGGCAATTTCTAGACTTGTTGACTTCAATTCTCAGAATTCAACTCTCAGAATTCAACTCTCAGAATTCAACTCTCAGAATTCAACTCTCAGAATTCNTCTCAGAATTCAACTCTCAGAATTCAACTCTCAGAATTCAACTCTCAGAATTCAACTCTCAGAATTCAACTCTCAGAATTCAACTCTCAGAATTCTGGAAGTTGAACTCCACAAGTCTTAATGTTGCCAAGTTTGGAGACCTCTGCCATAGACGTATCTGGAGGTTAGCTAAGGACAGGACGAGGAATTTCTCCATCTGGCAGAGAACACAAATTTACCTTCTCCTTCTTCGGATGCTCATCCTAGAAGAGCAGCAGGTGCTTGGAGAAGATGACGTCCATCCAGCTCTGTTGCTTGCTGGGATTTTCCCCGATCAATTCCTCTGTCTCCATCTCTGCTCCACATGTGATTCAGGAAGTGCTGAGCTCACAGCCAGTTTTGTATGAGTCACTGCAACAGAAGCATAGCATGAAGTGTGAGCTAAAGTTGCTTCAAAAGATCATCTCTCATTATTAGATATTGCTTCCTTCCTTCCCTGATAAATTCCAATTGGATTGTTTCATCTACACAAAAGCCCCCTCTGCCAGTTTTCCCCTCAGAGATAAAGAAATGCTTTCGCCCAGTGGTTGGGAAAGTGATTTCTTTCCATAGGAGCCAATTGCTAATTCCTCTTCTTTTTAGAAGAGTCTGAAAATATCATTTTGACCATCCCTTTCATTCTGAAAAGACTTTGGACTGTGGACAGGAGCAAGGTGAGGAATGGATTCATATCAGAAGTCAAACTCCCCAAATTTTTGGGCACACCAGAAAAGCATAACCTGATAGGTCTCCTGGTATTTATGCTAGGTCCCAACCCAGTGGTGGGATTCAATTACTACTAGTTCTGTGGGAGTGACTTGGTGGGTGTGGCATGGCTTGGTGGGCATGGCAGGGGAAGGAGACTGTAAAATCTCCATTCCCTCCCCACTCCAGGTAAAAGATACTGTAAAATCCCCATTTCCTCCCCACTCCAGGGGAAGGATACTGTAAAATATCCATTCCCACCCTACTCCGCGGGAAGGATACTGCAAAATCCCCATTCCCTCCCCACTCCAGGGGAAGGACACTGCAAAATTTCCATTCCCTCCCCACTCCAGGGGAAGGATACTGCAAAAACCCCATTTCCTCCTGATCAACTGGGACTCAGGATGCAGAGACCAGATGGGGGCGGGGCCAATCAGAAGTGGTATTTACCGGTTCTCTGGACTACTCAAAATTCACGTCACTGTTTCTCCAGAACTGGTCAGAACCTGCTGAATACCACCTCTGTCCCAACCCCATTGTGCCTTAACATGAGGGCCTGCTAAAGCACACAGATCTTGAAGCCATGTTCATTTCATGTGTGTTGTGAAACCAGCCTAAACTAGCCAGAGCTGTCACCCTCTACCACCACATCTTTAAACTTGGTAAAGACAAGAAGTCAAGAGGTTGTTACTTACCTCTAGCCTACGGGAAGGAGCCACATCTCCCCGTGGTTCCCAGCAAGATTTTTCACAGCTGCTCTTCGTCACATCCTTTGCATGCCAAGTTGTGTCTTTCGGCCAACTGCCCGTGATAGGAAGTTTAGTTTCACTTCTCCTTTGCTTTTCTTTCTTCAACAGCATCAAATTTCTCAAAGGTGCCGGTTTTCTTCCTAGTTTGGTTCTTATTTACGTCATCAAATGAGGCTCGGCTAAAAAAGCTTCAGTTCAAACTTACACCTTGGTGTAAGGTGATCTCCACCATTGAAATATGCAGTACATTTTTTTTCAACTAGCAAAAGCTAGTACAACTTTAGTAGACATTCTTGGAGATGGGTTAAATTCTAAATTCAAGCTGTGTCCGTGCCACATTTTTTCTTTCTTTCTTGTAGTCTATGCATCCCTCCAACTTTCTCTCTTTATCTAAACCCCCTTAGATGTTTCTTAAGAATCTCTCTCTTCACTGCTTATCGCCCTCATGAATGCAACAAGAAATTCAACAGCAAGGACCCTTCCCATCTCAACACCTTGGATTTAGAGAAGGAACAGGTGGTAAGAGTGTCTACTAATGGCTTTTCGGGAGCTGAAAGACCTTGAAAATCAGGTCAGAGAGAATCCAGAGACCCATCGGAGAATCAAGACAGAGGCCAAAAAGAACGGAGCTTCAAGTGTTGGTTGGAATTTTCTGCCAGGACACCTGAAACTTGCTTTCCAACGTGTTTTGACGCTCAGTTGTCGAGGAAGTTATGAAAATGGAAACTTCCTAGAAGGCAGGTAATTCCATTGGCTAATGCAGAGATAAACAGAAGTCATCTCTCAACAGCTACCTGCAAGGATGAGAGAGTGTCTGGAAGGAAAAGCTTGTGGAAGGGCGGAACTAATGCTAGAAGGAAGGACCTTCTGTTGAGGGTGTCTATTTAAATCCCTAGGGAATCACCACCCGAGGTGATGCAGTCACCCCTGCCACAAAAGAAGGATTTCCTACCTCGGTAACACAGTTCGATCCTTGCCACCCTCAAACTCAGCTACTGATGATCCAGCTTGAAGAGCACACCAGATGATTCAAGCTCGCTATGTTCTCCACATGGGAGACCAGAAGAAAAAGCCAGCCATCACCAACCAGCTTCTGAGCTGAGATCCCAGAAATCATCAGTGTAGCACAAGGCACCCACTGAATGGAAACAAACCTGCTGAGGAAGCTGAGATTCCCCACCTGTGTTTCTAGTGCCTTGATATCTGGGCTCAGATCACTGTGACTGGTGGGGCAGACACATCTGGATGAGTTGCGTCGCTAGCCACGGGGCTAGCCGTCGAAGAAGGAGGCAGACTCTCCACCGATCCTCCTAGCTGGAGTTTGGGGGACCTCTGGGGACTGGGCTCCTCAGAATTATCTAGGCTGCCCTCAACTTCCTTGCCCCGTTGGATCAGCTGCTCTAAGGTTTTGGGGTAGGGGTGGCTGAGGAAACGTTTGAGTTTGGGCTGGAGGGTCCCTACGACATACTGGATGACATCCTCTTCCTCAGCATCTATGTAGAGAGTCTGGTACAAGTCCCGCTTGCGCCAAAGGAACTGGTCAAGGGGCTCCCCATCCTTCTGGGGGAGATCCAGCTCCTGTTTGATGGCATCCCTGGTCAAGGTGCCCTCGCTGTATTGAAGGAACTCTTTCTTAAACTCCAGCCAGTTCTTGACCGAGTCCTGCTTGTATTCCCACCACTTTTTAGCAGGGCCATTCATGTGGTTCTGGATCTGGGAGAGCCAATAGTCCTCCGTCCCACCCACCTGCTTCAGATAATCCTCCAGATGAGTCAGGAATTCCCTGGGATCCTCAAAGATCTGGGTCTCCACCGGAGAGCTTGGGGCATCATCTGAAACAGTGATCCACTGATAGGAGTCATGGGGCTGGGGCGCACTAGGGTCTTCCCCAATAGGAGGAGAGGTCAGGGCGTACATCTGACTCATGTCTAAGGCATAATCATAAATCTCCTCTTTGCTGGGTTGGATTTCCGGGGTCCCTACTCCCACCGAGACCGTTTGCCTGCCCTGGTCCCCATGGGAATACTTTCCCCCACCAGACTCCAACCGGTCTGCCCATTTCTCCAAGCGGAAAAAGACTTCCTTCCAGACATTAATCTCCCTCTTGACCCACCTCTCCAGGTGAGCAATGGTCTCCTGGCATCTAGCCAGGCAAGACTTGATGGACTTTTTCCACCTCTGGTTCTCCGCGGCTGAAGGAACGTGGTCTTCTAGATTGTTCTCCAGTTTCCCCACCGATTTCTGTAGGCTTTTCAGCTCCCTCTCCACTTGCTTGGACACCTCGGTCAAGAGGTGTCGGTGGGTTCTCCTCACGTGGTCTAACATGTCAGCCCTGCACTTCCCTATCTGAAGGATGACGTTGGGCTTGTTGTTGGCCATCCCACGATGACCCTGGTAGGAATGGAGATTCCCATGGTTGACGTTTTCCACCTGCAACATCTCTGCCTCTGCTGCTCTACACTTCCCACCCCAACAATTCTTTTCCAAACCAAACTCTGCTCCGAAACTGACTTGCCTTCTTCTCCCCTAAAGCACGAAACACAACTGGATCAGAGATTTCCCCAGACCAAAAAAAGAAAGAAGCACGTGGCTGTCCAACTCCACTTGACGTTGAAGCAAAAGTCCACGAAGCAGACCAGGAAAGTTCTTTGTAGCCTCGACTTCTTCCTCCTCCTCCTCCCCTTCAAAGGCTTTAATCCCCAAGCAGATCCGTCCGGTTCCCCTTTGACGGATGGAAGGCCACCTCCCTGCTGCTGGGGTACCTTCTCCTTGGCTTCCAGAACCCTCCTGAGAACTTAAGGGAGAGCTTCGTTGTCTTCCTCCGGGAGTTTGAAAACAGAAAGAGCTCTTTGGTTCCTCTCTCTCTCTCTCTGCCCTGCTCTGCTATGCCGCTCTCTTCGCCGGAGACCCATATTTATACTGCACACAGCTCAGTACGTGGGTGTAGCCAGGCCTATTTGCTCATCAGCAATGGTTCTCTGATTGGATGAGGAAGGGATTCAGGGGAAAACACAGCTTCTGGCAAATTTCTCGGCTTCCCCCTCCCGCTCTCCTTTGCCACCCCCTCGTGCACACCTCCAGACTTGAGGCGAGAAGCGCTTTGAAAGGTTTCGGAGACAGTTGGAGAGTTGGATGAGTAATGCCTTTACCTTTTCTTTTCTATTTTTTTTCCACCCTCTCTCTCTCTCTCCTCGGCATCTCCCTTCTCTCCCCCTTCCCTCCCTCCCACACCCCCAGCTCAAGAGCAAAGAAAAGGGCTTATCCATTCCTTAGTCAGCAAGGTCCTTATGAAATCGCTGTTTTGACAAAGTAGGGGGGGGGGGAATTAAGCCGATGAGTGTCACGCTCCAGTGGCCACAGCGTAGGATGTCCACCCCCCCATCCGCCTCCAGATCTGATGCATTCCTCTGCACAATTCATTGCCAAGTCCTTTCCCCTTGGGTGGCTCTCCAGACCGGAGTCATGAGATCAGAAGAAGCTTCTCCAGGTCAGAGGTGGGCATTTCAGCTCCAGCATCTTCTCTACGGGATGAGGAACAGGTGTCTGAGGAGGGGGTGACAGGGGTCTTCTTGGACTATGGGGTCAGAAAGGGTCACAAACCCTTCATATGGATGAGAGAGGGGGGCTTCCTGGACCACGGGAGTCAGAGAGGATCACACCTTTCCCAGGGATGAGACAGGGGGCTTCCTGGACCACAGAGGTCAGAAAGAGTCCCACCCTTCCCATGGATGAGAAAGGAGGACTTCCTTGACCACGGGAGTCAGAAAGGGTCACACACCCTTCATATGGATGAGAGAGGGGGGCTTCCTGGACCACGGGAGTCAGAGAGGATCACACCTTTCCCTGGCATGAGACGGGGGGCTTCCTGGACCACAGAGGCTCGAAAGAGTCCCACCCTTCCCATGGATGAGAAAAGAGGACTTCTTTGACCACGGGAGTCAGAAAGGGTCACACACCCTTCATATGGATGAGAGAGGGGGGCTTCCTGGACCACGGGAGTCAGAGAGGATCACACCTTTCCCTGGGATGAGACGGGGGGCTTCCTGGACCACAGGAGTCAGAGAGGATC